GCCTCCTAGAGCATAGTTTCCACGTAAAGTTGCAAACTTTACGTGCATGCAAGCTCTTAAATGCCAAAACCAAGCTAAGGGAGGGGTTTAAGCCAAAAAGGAGGACCAATGCTTGATAAATTCAGTGACTTTATAACTCTAAGGACTTAGAGGAGACCAGATCTGAAGTTACAACTTCAGATCATGCCCTAACTTCAGATCATGCCCAATACCCGAAATAATCTACAAATGTACTAAAATGAACTTAAACCTAAGTAAAAGGGGGTCTAATGCTAGAATGACCAAGGTAACAGTTTGTTACCTTCAAATGGAAGCCCAAACGATGTAGATGTTGGATCTACAAGCTCCTTCCCGTTCCAAGCTTCTTAACCTTCAAACTTCTTCAACAAGTTGCACCAAAAACACTCTCTTAGCCCCTCAAGCACAAGGAAGCAGCAAAGAACGGCTAAGGGTTTCTTCTCTGGGTAATGAAGTGGTAAGGGAGGCCACAAGAGGCAGATTAAGTCCTTTATATAGGGTGCAAACCCTAAAAATTAGGATTTTCCTTTACAACACCTACTCGTCGAGTAGGATCTAAATCTCGCGTCCTCATAAATGATCTCTACTCGACGAGTTTGAGCCCCACCAACTCGTCGAATCCTAGCATAAAACTCTAAAACTTGAAAAAATTAGATGATACCTGGAACAGGTGTTACAATTTTAAGAATTTTAAAATTAAAAGGTAAGTTAATTAATAATATTCATATCCATTTATTACTACATTTATTGCAATTATTACATTAAAATATTATATGGAATTTAAAAAAAAATAGAAAAACTTATAAAATGACATGTGGAAAAAAAATTAATTGAAAATAACCACAAAATGACATTTGACAAATTGAATGAGAGTGTGACAAGTGTCCAAAAAACCTTCATGTATTAGAGTAGATTTCGTTGAGATCTTACACAAGCTTATAGATTTATAGTAAAGCATGCATATATATATATATATATATATATATATATATATATATATATATATATATATATATATATATATATATATATATATATATATATATATATATATCTGTGTGTGTATCTTCAAAGTGCTCGTTTTTTTTATACCGTTAATCATTATCAAATAATTAACAATAAGGCAACGATCAATGGTAAGGATGTTTAGATGGTTTTATAGTAAGCTAATCTTATTGTAGTTTTATTTTTATTTATTTTTTCATTTTTTGCACTAATAGTCATAATTCTTGAGATGCTAACTCATCCAACTAACCGTAGTGGTTTTTCGATTTCAAGGTTATAGAGGAGAAGGATCACATTTGGTGATGATTCTATGCAACCTCTATTGATTTGCATCGCAAAGTCTTTTCATTTCATTGCCACCCTTAATTGAAGTTTCCAGGATTTGGATGTGAATAAGTGGGTTAACCAAGTCTCACACTCACACGTTTTACCCACTAAATCATCAAGAGACGGTTATAAGGCAACTCCAACCCAACACTAAATATATCTTTAGTTTGGTGTAAAGTTGCTTCACCCAGCACCAAATTTGATATTAATAAATAGCATAACATCAAATATTTGTATTATACTACTTATTAGCATTAATTATAATGTTAAAGTTTCATTTAATTTTATATTTATTCATTTTTAATCTATTAATGTTTTCTTATAATGTAAAACATAATAAAAACTTACATAAAAACACATTTGAGATATATTATAATATTATAATCTAGAAAAAACCACATATGAAATATAAGGATTCTTTTTTTGAAAATTTAATAAAGTTCAAAAAATAAAAATATACATGGAATAATTATTTTTTTGTTAAAAATAATGTAATGGTTGGAGATGATTTAGTGTTTGTATTTTTTATACCACTTTTATCAATTTAGTATAAAAATAGTAGGTTTGAGTTACAAAAGCATATGATCTATTCTTAGAACAAATTTTCACCAGGGACGTAAATTGACAGTTAAACATAAGTTTAAGGACTGTTTTTTGAAAATTCGAGGATTTTGTTCAAAGAAAATGCACGTGATATCCCAGCGAAGCGGGAAATACAGGAGAGCACGTGAGATTTAAGCATCCCCTGACAAGCAGCGGGGAGGAGTTGCTTCCCTACCGCACTCACGCTACACCCATCCGCAGCTTATAATTTCCCAACACCCTCTTACAAAATTCACATGCACAGAAAATAGAATAACACTTTCATGTGGATGCTTCCCCTAACTCAGGGCCCACGTCACGTTTCCGGTCCTTGCACGTGCCATGCATGTGATCCTCCCTTCTCATTACTTCTTCCATATGGAGACATTCCTTTTTTTTAGAATAATTACTTTTATTTATCTATAAGTTAAACTATTATGTAGATGATACCACAATTGATTGCTAAAATACTAAGGAATAGGTCTGTATTTGTGAAGATTTTTGAACAAGTAAAGTTGATGGACTAAAATTGTCAATGACAGATAGTTGATCACAACCAACAATCAATTAATAGTTAACGGTAGATAGACAACTAACAAGTTGAGTAACATATAATTTATTGATACAGTCCAAGTTGATACATCAACATCTTTCTGTTCATTTTGTATGATGTTATAAATTACTAATATATATATATATATATATATATATATATATATAAAAGTAGGTTCAATATAAAATAATAATTAGGATAACATGCCGGAACCAATGATCATGTGACATGTGTTAATTTTTTTATTCATAAGTAATTTATTGTACAAATTATTTATATAATTTACTCTAAAGTTCTACTTGTTATTATAAAATGGCTAGAAACAAAAGATAAAATGATATTTAAGTTCTTACAGCATAATGATCATTTAATTTGTGACATACTCTCCACATTGGATATTGTTTTTTCCGATATAAATCAATTCATAGACAGTTTAAGAGATTTTTTATATCCGCGAAGCACTTTAAGTGGCATTCCTAACATAGAAATTGTTTCTCATGCATAATTAAATGTATTGAGATAAAATATCACTAACATTTAAGTTATATATATATATATATATTTTCTTTTACTATCAAGTCTTGAATTTATAAACCATATTGGATAAGTAGTGATATTTGTATGTATAAAATATTGTTGATATATATAATTTCTTTTTTAGAATTAAAATTATAACAATTTTACCTTTTATTTAAAGTTGAAAAATAAAAAATGATAATATTATTTAATAACATTAAAACTTAAAAAGGTATTACATTGGGAAAAACAAAATTATTTAGTTGTACGTTTTTTTAAGGGAATATGACTTATTAAGGGAATTAACTTTTCGGTAAGTTCATATCTGGGTAACTATCTTTTTTTTGTACACATCTAGGTAACAAACTTGTTGGAAGTGTTCACATATGACCATTATGACCTGCTATAGCAGGTTAAATCCTAGATGTGAACGTTTTCAACAAGTTCGTTACCTAGATGTGTACAAAAAAAATAGTTACCCAAATATGAACAAAACGAAAAGTAAAAATTAAATTACACGAATGGTCCCTGTGGTTGGGGGAATTTGTGTTTTGGGTCCCTAACTTATTTTTTTAACTTGGATGATCCCTATTGTTTATTTTTGTTGCGCGTTTAGTCACTGTCTTACCTAAAAAGACTATTGTGCCCTTATTAATTTATTTATTAATTAATTTTCTTATTTATGCATTCATTTTTTACATATTTAAAAAAAAATTAACAGACCCCGCATATTTGTATCTCCTCGGATGATCCCTACTGTTTATTTTTTAATTAATTTATTTTTTTAACTCGGATGGTCCCTACTGTTTATTTTTGTTACGCGTTTGGTCTCTGTCTTACCTAAAAAGACTATCAAACGGCCCCTAAGATTACCTAAAAGTAAAAATTAAATTACACGAATGATATGTGGGGTATATTAATTTTTTAAATATATAAAAAATAAATACATAAATAAGAAAATTAATTAAAAAATAAATTAATAAGGGAAAAATAGTCTTTTAGGTAAGACAGGGACCAAACGCGCAACAAAAAAAAGATAATTACCCAGATGTGAACATACCGAAAAGTTAATTACCTTAATAAGTCATATTCCCTTTTTTTTAATCACCATTTCGATCCATATAAATAAATCCAACATAAGACAAATAACTAACACCTAAACAATAAACAAATATTTATCATATTAAACAAAAAATATAATCGAACACTAACATTATGGTTGTTATTATTATTATTATTATTATTATTATTATTATTATTTTGAATGGTTGTTTAGAAAAGTTAGTATCACAAAATTAATAGAATTGGTCAATATCCAGAGATCAGATTACCCTCGATCTAAAAGTCAAAGTGGTGAGCAAATCTTACGTTACCTTACCACTTACATTATTAAACTGTGAACAATAAAACATTGTTACTTACTAAACTGTAAATATCATAACATATATTATTATATTATAGTATTTTTACAACGATAATTTTTCAAATCTTGCGTTTGGAGTAATTAAGGTTTTTTTTTTTTTTATTTATTTATTTATTTTTTTTTTTTTGAATATCGTGAATGTAGTTTTGGGAAAAATTCTTAAGTTTTTGAGTTTTCAAATCTCTCTCTCTCTCTCTCTCTCTCTCTCTCTCTATATATATATATATATATATATATATATATATATATATATATATATATATATATATATATATATATATAAAAAAATTGCAAAAATGGTCCCTGTGGTATGTAAATTTTTGGGGTTTTAGTCCAAACCCCGAGTTTTTTAGATTCATGGTCCTTTTGGAGTTGTTTGTATGTGGAATTGGTCCCCGGACTTAACACCCGTTAAAAAGGATCTGTTAACTCCCTCATGTGCCTCACACGTGAGGGTATATCCGTCATTTCATATGTAAGGGACCATTTTTGCATAAACCTTTTTTGGCTTAATTCCTTTTAAAGATCCCCACCGTTTCTATCTTCGTCCCTAATGTTCCCCAACGTCTCTTTTTTCTACCCTTCTTCTTGAGCTCTGTTACAACAACAATGGTTCAATAGTGATCCGGATCCAAAGAAAAGTGCTATGGTTTCCCCAATCCCAAAAGCAGCAGCTAAGGCTAAAGAAGTTGAAACAGATGGAAGAAACTTCTTCTTGCTTCCACTCATGCTATCTAAACAAAAAAGGTTGTTCTTAATTAGGTTAAGTAAGAGTAAATAACAAGTAGTTATCAATACAGAAATTGGAATTACCATGGCTGAGAAAAGTGGAGTCATCATCATCATCATCATCATCATCATCATCATCATCGTCATCCTTGACTAATACTGCTTGTTCTTCAGCAACAAATGAGGTTGTGATATTGAGTAGAGGAATATTGAACAATTTTGCTACCAGATTGAATATTGATATGGAAACGCCAACAACAGCCAATTCAGCAAAGCCTAAAAGGAGTAACTAGATACATCAGATGCTTATATGAGAATTGGATAATTCTTTTTTCAGAGAAAACATTGTCAATTGAAGAAACCTGATAATATGCATTGTAATGAGATTATGAGAATGAGTTTTTACCTAAATGACCAACAAATGCAGTATCAACCAGTGAAGTAATTGGATCAGCAGGAAGAGTTAATGCAGCTAGCAATGCGATCGACATGATCTCCGTTCCAAGTTCATCTAACTTAAGCTTCTCTCTGCACTCCAAAACAAATCAAAACAACTAAATCACACACTTCGATAAGAAAAAATCAATCGTGCCTCTCCTTTATACATTCATACTCCCCAAATCAACTCGTTTAAACTGCTACTAGAATTCGAATATTTAAAATCGATGGTAAAAGCTAGACAAATGTCAAGAAATATTACCTAAAAAGTTTAAATCAACGACGCGAATGGCTTGGATGAAAGGGAACCAGAAGGTGAAGAAGGTGCGACTTCATCTAAGTTCTCATCATCATCATCATCATCATCAAATTCAGTTTGGGATTTAAATTCGGGTTTTTCTACAGGGCGTTCTGGGGATGAAGTGCTAGGGTTTTGCCTGGATGATGATTTGGGTAGAGTTCGAAATCGAATTGAAGAATCGGGGATTTGTATGAATGATTGAACTCTGAAACAACGATTATCATGGTGACAATTTCATGAACGAATAAGATGATTGTGGTGAAAGATACAGATGCTGCACATAATTTGCAGAATCTAAGAAGGAGAAGAGCAACTAGAAACCATATACAATTTTTGTTACTCACTAATTTTAACGAAAAAAATTGCAAAAATGGTCCCTTACATATGAAATGACGGATATACCCTCACGTGTGAGGCACATGAGGGGGTTAACAGATCCTTGTTAACGGGAGTTAAGTCCGGGGACCAATTCCGCATAGAAACCACTCCAAAAGGACCATGAATCCAAAAAACACGGGGTTTGGACTAAAACCCCAAAAATTTGCATACCACAGGGACCATTTTTGCAATTTTGTCATATATATATATATATATATATATATATATATATATATATATATATATATAATAAATAAAAATCCATTTTACCACATGTCAATCTCTTATAAGTTTTGACATTTGTCATTTTGTGGTATTTTGAAATTAATAGTATCCACATGTCAATTTCTAGGTTTTCTTAATTTTTAAAATTAAAAAGCCACATAATACATATAATATATAAATAAAATATTAAATGTAATAAATATGATCATAAATTACAATAAATATGTTTTTTCCTTTCTTATTTTAAAATTTAATTTTAAAAAATACTTAAGGTTTAATTTTTTTATTTAACTCATGTAATACATGAGTCTCACACCTAGTATATATATATATATATATATATATATATATATATATATATATATATAGGGTTAGATTCATGTGAGATCATTATATTTTGTGAGACGGTGAGACGCAATACTAGCCATTCATTTTGTAGATAAAAAAAATATTTTTAAAATGCAAAATAAATGAAAATTTTCTAATTTTTTTAAAAAATATTATTTTCGTCACTTTTTTTATCAAAAATAAAATTAAATAAAAAAATTTACCGTTTTTTTTAAATAACTGTGAAATATTTTAGTAGAATATTAGAATATTCTAGCAGAATATTAGAATATTTTACATATCTGACAAATCTACTAGAATACTAGAATATTCTAACATTCTAAAAATCACATTGGAATATGTACAGTATCATATTCTATTAGAATCTTTTATGTATTTTTCAAAAAAAAAACGGCAATTTTTTTTTATTTTTTTAGGTAAAAAATGATGAAAATAATAATTAAAAAAAGAATTTTCGGATTTTTCCTTTTATTTTGCATTTTAAAAATATTTTTAGATTGCGTCTCATGGTCTCACAAAATTAACATGGTCTCAAATGAACCTAAACCTATATATACATATATATATATATATATATATATATATATATATATATATATATATATATCATTTGAGAACCTATAGTTTCCCGAGAACCCGAGAAGTAAAGGTGAGACGTTAGATCAAAAAATTTAATGGTTTAGATCAAAGATGACATACTTGTACATATCAACACTTTTAATGGTATCTTGGACTTTTAAAAAATGATCAAAGGGGTATATTAGGGATAAAATATATTATTTCCTAATAATTAATTTAACAAAATCAAGTTCTCTCTTTATTAGTTACCGACTCTATCTTTCTCTCTCTATCCCTTTCTCTCCCACACACAATGACACAAACAAGTCTTCATCGCTCCGCCTTCTTCCATCACCGGCGAAATCATCAACGCGAGATCGAGAGAAAAGATAATGTTCATAGATCTCTCTCTTTCTTTCCTCTTGTCTTCGTTTCGCCTCCAAATGATGTCACATTCTCGTTCACGTTTTTCCTTGACGTCTCCTTATTACCTCCGGATCAATATCTACACTCGATCCAGGTTTCATTGTCAATGATGATCAATCGATCTGAAATCTACCATGGATAAATGTTTCATTATTTTTTATTATAAACAAGATGAAGGCGTGATCTGTTCTTCTCACTTTCCGTGTTGAAGATCGAATGGAGGTCATGGTGAAAGTTATTGCTCTTGATTCTCAATGCGATGGATGTAAGATCGAATGTAAGATCCATTGAAGTACTTTAACTCTTTTTTTTCCAATAATAAAAAGTTCGTTTAAGTCTAGTTTAATTTTTGATCATCAATTTCAAATTCTATTTCTGATATGACATTTTGTGCAATTCTTTGATCTTTTAATCTTAGGTTTTATCTCTATGTATGTGCAACTATACTTCAGTTTTCATCTTCATAAAATCTAATCTCTGTGGACGAACTAATACATTTTAACCAAGAAGAAGATATTCCAGATACTTCCTCTTTCACTGCATTTCTCTATTCATTCTTGTCCCCAGGAAGATCAGAAAACGATGAATATCCATGGTTTGTTAATCTTCACTATTCTGATTTTTTCTTTTGTTTCTGGATGTTCATATGACTATCCATAGGATCTTGTCACTTCAGAACATTTATTCACTCTCATTTATGTCATCCCCAAGTTTTCACAGAAGGATTGTTCGTCAAGTTATGAGACACTAACCATTTATGTGGTAAGAGTAAGACCACCTCTATTCTTGTTTCATTGATGCAAAGGAACCATGCTATTTTGATTATCTAAATTAAATGGTCCACTTGATTATCGTCAATTAATAGGGTAACACTGCACAAGATTCATTCATTGTACCAAAAATACATACAGTAGGGATTGGACCTGGTTTCTTGAATTCAATATAGGATATGGAAGGGAAGGGATATTATTTGTTGTCATATTCTTCTTCAAGTATAATACTTAAACTAACTAGTTAATTTTAGTCAACGATGGAAGATAGAAATTCTATTATATGACAACTTGCCTTCTTGAACTGATGCATAGAGTTTCAAGGATGGAACACACTTTCTCACTCAAGCAGTCTTGTTGCTGCAACAATTGAGGCTGCTCCATTTTCTCTGCAGGTAATGGAATAAAAAAGATCTGTAAAATATACAAAATTCATATTATTATTATATGAAATATTAAATGTTTTGTGTCCGTGTAGTATAATGTTATTGGATGGGCTCCAAAAGAGTATAATCCATATGGAAAACAATCTAATGGGAAACAAGAGCATGGAGGAGATTTAAAAAATGCTCCAGCTCTACAGTCTGGTTTTGTTTGGGATGAAGCATTTGGTTATTACTATGATGCTGCTTTTGGATTCTATTATGATGGAAATACAAGTTATTATTTTTTTGTAATTGATAAAGATTATTAAAATGTGGAATTATGGATGTATATTATTACTGATGTATTACATTGTAACATCCATAAAAATCACAAGAAATTTAAGCTTTTTAAACAACCCCAAATTATAGAATGTTTACAAAATCATTGTTTTCAAAGTATTGTTCCATATCAGAGAATCCCATAGATCAAAAGTACATAAAACAGAGGATGAGTACGGTCACGCCTTCACCTTCCTGCGATCATTAGAAGTAACTAAAACAATAACTAAAAAACTGTAAGCCAAAGCTTAGTGAGTTCCCCAAACTTCCAACATATAAACAAATAACATATACAACAGCATGTCGGGTCCAATCAACCATCGGGTTGGAATACCCCAGACCCAATCAACCTATGGGTCCAGTCATCCTCCGGATGGAATACCCCAGGTTGGAATGCCAATATACAATGGGTCCACTCACCCATCAGACTGGAATACCCTCAAGCCCTTAGTACGAGACTGGCATGCCAACCGACCCTCAGATCGTATCTAGAATGCTCTCGAGCCATCAGTATGAGTCTGGCATGCCAACCGGCCCTCAACTCATATCTGGAATGCTCCTGGGTTTGTTGGCTACAGCACAAAGCAGTACAAACTCAACCCACCACAATACGTCGACATATAACAGACAACAAACATAAGCAACATAGAGATAATCATGCCGACAAAATCACAGGTAGTCCTACAGATCTACCACACTAAGCATATCGGCAATTATATTCCAAACTCAGGATATCAATGTATAGCAGGATGTCAATCCAATGGGCCGGACTTGGTATCTTTGACTCGTAAGTACAGTGAGGAAAACTCACCTAACAGTCTGAACAATAGCTGATAATGTCTCGATTCTGAATCTCAGCTCTAGGGCCGATTCTGAGGATTCAAATGCCCAGGACGAAATGGATAAAAAAAGGCCCTTAGGCCTTAACGTGTAACACTTTAACGAATTAAATTACATAAACTAATTTTTTATTAAAATGACGATAAACCTTATAGCAATAAAAATAGCAAAATCAAAGTATTTTAATGACTAATAGCATATCCTAACAGCTAACCGACTATCCTTGAAGCTCTCCTAGCATTCTTGATTGCAAATTGGTTGATCAACTCCTCGTAGTCTATACTCTCTAAGATTTCGTTCTCGATAGATATCACTGCCAAACCGCTAAGTGTTTCTTGGGTCATTGTGGAGCGTAAGTAAGATTTCACAAATTTCAAATTGGAAAAACTCTTTTCTGCAGATGCGACCGTTACTGGAATAGGCAACAATATTCTATATGCAATGCTTGCATTTGGTACATAATCAAGTTCTTTCAAAAACTTCAAAACATCTATAGGGTTGCTAAATTCATTAGTTTCCAATGTCTCAAATAATTTCAACTCCGTATAAAGTTCCTCGGCATCAATATCCGATCTTTCTTCAAACTTGAGTGCTTTTTCAAGATGATGACAATACAACTTAAGATCTTTATCTTCAATTCCCATTAAATTATGTGGAAATAAAAAAACCAAATACTTTATCATACTCTTTGAATTGTTAAAATCTTGTCTCAAGAGAAGAAATAGCTTGATCAACAATGTATAAGAAATAATTGACTCTGAAATTCTCTTCAGGTGTAAATGAAACTTTTTCGCCACTTGAACTCTCATCAAACCTTCTTTTCCTTTCAATAAAAAGCTTTTGTGGAAATATTGGATCAATACCCATTTCAATAACAATCTCCTTAGCTTCAACAATCGTTTTTGAAAAACCAGTTTCTCTATAATCTTTGAAGTACCCAATCAATTTGTTTATTTCTGTAATAGCATTATCAAGATGCATATCCTTTGATTGTAACTTCTTACTCATAATATTCACATGGTTTAGTACTTCATACCAAACAACAGTTGATACCAAAAATTCGAAGTCACTAAGTTCTTTTTCTGCTAGTGAAGTTGCTTCACTTTCAATTGCAGCATCATTATCTTTTTCTCCAACTTGAAAGTAAAGCTTCCCGTACATCCACAAGTTGCAGTTTAATAGCCTTTACACTCTCAACCTGGCTTTCCCAACGAGTTTGACACAATGACTTAAGACTCCAAGCTTTAACAATATCTTTCAAAATTTTCCACCTCTTAGTAGAATTTGCAAAGATAGTATAAATACGTTGGATGAATCCAAAAAAGTTATTTCCTCTAACACACTTGTTAGCCATATCACGTAATGTTAGATTAAGAGAATGGCAACCACAAGGAGTGTAAAATGCTCTAGGATTTATATCTAAAAATCTCTTTTGCACTCCTTGGTGTTTTCCTTTCATGTTTGCTCCATTATCATAGCCTTGACCACTCATATCATCAATTTGAAGACCAAGAGACTTTAACTCCTCAAGTGTAATATAAAATAATCCTTTTCCAGAGGTATCATCAACATTCAAAAAACCTAAAAAGGACTCATCGATAGTAACAGAATTATATGATAATTTTAAATACCTCACTATTATAGTCATCTGTTCTTGGTGACTTGATTCGGGAGTATAATCAAGTATGATTGAGTAGTACTTTGCTTCCTTTATCTTCTTGATAAGTTATTTTTTAATTTCTTCAGCTAGCAAAGATATTAGTTCGTTTTGGATTAGGTGGCCAAGATAATGCACATGAAGCCCTTCACTTGTTATCCGTCGCACATGCTCTTTGATAACCGGGCCAAACTCTTCCAACATTTCAATGACACCCAAAAAATTTCCATTACCTGTTAAATACAATTAACAAATAAGAAGTGGAATCAGTTATCATAGTTAACAAAAAAAAAATTGGTGGAACTGGAACAAAAAAAGTACAATTTATAGTTACCTTTTTATACAACTTTTCATTGGATCCACGCAATGCTAAATTATGTTTCGCAAGAAACTTCACTACTACAATAATTCTTAAAAGCACTTGTTTCCAGTAATCTATTTCTTTCTTGAACTGCTCATGTTGAACTTTATCAATTGTTTCGTTCAAGTTCAATCTTTTATGCATGTCAAACCACTTATTCCTATTTGTAAGATGATCCAATGGAATTTCGTGTTCTTTAACCCTAGTGGTAACATGGTGCCAATCTGCATAACCTTCACCATCCAATTTACCTTTTGAAGTCCCTTTTCTAAACACTTAACAACAGAAACAAAATACCCTTTCTAGCTCTTTCGAATATACTAGCCATTCTCTATCACACTTCTCCAAATTTGATAAAGTTCTTGTATTTAAAGTTGCAGAAAATCGTCTA